TCCCACTTATCCAACACTAACTACTTTCTTGAACGCTTACGGAACGCTCAGTTTGACAATTCCGTAGCTGAGTCATTTGATGTGGTATCATTGTATACCAATGTTCAAAATAACGATGCTCTACAAGCGTTATCAAAAATGCTGGATAGTGAAGGAAAGAATATCGACACCTTTGGGCTGAGTAAGAGTCATGTCATGACCCTAATCAAAGAATGTTTGAGTTGTTCCATCTTTAGATGGTCAGGAACTTACTTCACCCAACGAGAGGTCTCGCGATGGGACAAAGACTTGCGCCAGCACTTGCGATATGCTTTATGGGTAGAATCGAGAACCCGGTGTTGTTACGACAGCCTCTTATGTATTGCAGATATATCGATGACTGCTGTTTCATAATATCCACGCAGTCCGAAATGGACGAATGCTTTCGATTACTGAATCAGCAGTCTCAATACATAAGATTTACGCGAGAACAACCGACGGGTGGTTGGCTGCCTTACCTGTGCAATTTAAATTGTCTGGCTGTAATGCGATTGTGAAATGGTATCGAAAGAAGAGCTGCAAAAATATCTTACTACATGCTCGTTCTTCACATCCATCTGCTGTTAAACATGCTGTTATACGAAACATGTTTAAGACCGCAACACAAGTTTGTACAGGAGATGAAGAGAGAACAGAGTCACGAGCTATGGCTTTGAGCATCGCTAAGAATAACGGATACCAAATGCACAGACTGCATGGTAGAATTAGGAAAGACGATGCTCAGCACAGTAGTAAAATACCACTCTGTTTACCTTACATCTCCGAGCAAGTCAGTGCTGCCGTACAGCATACCATAAAGCGAGCACAGTTATGCGATGATATCATTCTCGTGAACATCCCAAGCGATAACATCAGGAAACGACTTGTGCGAAATAGGCTTTACGACAAATACTGCATTTCGAAAGAATGCACTATTTGTCCGTATAACAATGTCGGTGACTGCGCTAAAACAGGTGTGGTATATGAGATTGATGGGTGGAGGACATTAGGTCGCCGAATTTGGAAGAGTCCCGCGCGGATTCCCTGCAGGAACGCATGTCCGCGCATGTACAAGGGTGCGTATTTGTCGCAAATGACCGCGGGGACCGCCCTTTTTCGGCGACCTAATGTCCTCCACCCGTCCGTATAACAATGTCGGTTACTGCGCTAAAACAGGTGTGGTATATGAGATTGACTGCTTGACATTCGGCGCCACATACATTGGAGAAACCGGAAGAGCACTCGGTGTGAGAAAGAAGGAACATCTAGCCAGCAAGAGAAAAGGTAGTCTGACGTCACCTCTCGGAAGCAGGGCCCGGCACAGATCGACTGGAAGCAGGCTGGACTTCGTTTTTGGAGCAAAAAGCAAAGGGGATATCGTTTTTGACGAGTCGGGGCCGAGCATCAAGAATAAGCGCCATTTAGTCGAACACAAGCTTTTCGGACAGGTTATCACGCGATTGACATGCTCTATCCTGCATGGCGAAAAGTGCGCGCGATTTGAAAGCGAGGCTAAAATAAACAAATTGCTTGTTTACAGCGCACACAAAAGCATATGACACCAAAATTGAACTATATGTATAGAAAATTATTTGCGAAAGGATTATGTAAAAATATTTGAATACTTATGTAAAGTAATACCTTTTCCAAAATTAGACCGTCTCCAGACGGCCACCAGACGATCTGAGATCGTCTGGAGCATATATTTCTGTTACTTCACATAAGTTGTGGATTTTTCTATCATGGACGAGTTCCCCAGTCAAAAATCTATCCCTAAGCAGGAAAACATTTTCATATCACTGCCTTTCCTTTGTTTTTTGCCTTGATTTTATCATATATCGCTTTGTTAAAAATCGCGCTCCAATGCCAAACTCTTGTGCATGCGTAGTATTTGGCTCCAATCTGGATTTTCTCTCTTATCTCACGTTTTATCTTTCAGACCAGTAAATGTTTCTTGTTTTCATCTTCTTCTAACTAGGTAGGTCAAAGGGGACTTCGTAAAACTTCCGAAAGTCAGGTGAGACTTCGTCTTCAGAAACCCTAGAAACCGACTCGTGCCGGACCCTGCTCGGAAGGCACAAGCACAACGATCACGGTGACAACGACCATCTAATCAAATGCTCCATTTTGGCTTACGAACTGGATATCTCTGCACGGAAAGCTCTCGAAGCCTTCTCGATCTCTTACAGGTACCCGCAAATGAATAACAGAAATGAGTGTTTAGCCATTACAAATGAATCTCTGCCATTCATCCCGTTATGTGAGTTGTGACAGAGTAGTGCAATAGATTGACTTGTATGGATATTGCACTACTAATTCGGAGAAGGCGGTCGCACACCATCATCGGTGCGATAGCGGTAGAGCCACAGTCAGTTCGTCATCCCATTTGATTCTCACTAGTGAATCCATAGGGAGGATCAAAAAACTGGCCAGGGTTGACAAGGCGTTTGGTGGGACAAACATAAGATCATTAATCGCGCGCCACTTAGGCCTCTGAAGACGAGGATTGCTCGAAACGTTAGGCCGCTCTACTAATAAACCTTCGCCGAAACCTCGTGCTGGCACAACTAACAAATAGAACTATATCGTTGTAATACCGAGGTTCAAAGAAAAGAGGACATTCAAGCTACTTTCATATGAGTTTGGGCAGACATATTTGGCTACCATCACTAACTAGTTAATGTATACTTCAAAGGTTTTTTTTGCGGCTAGAGAGAATTTTAGTTATTTTAGCTGCACAAAAATATTTGCGAGAAATCAAAAAAAAACATTATTTGAGCTCCTCAGCGCGCGAAAATATGCCGACTTTCTAATATTTGATTTTTTCTTGCTGTCGCTAAAGAAGAAAGCTAATTGGCCAATGGTCCCTGCTTGCTCTCGCTTTGCTCTAACATATGCAATATTGAATGCATCACCTGTCACTATATGTAGATTGTTGTCGCTTGCTGAATAACTGAGTTTGTCTTTTATCCTTGGAAAAAATTGAGGAAGCAAGATATTCTCTGCGTCGGAGAAGAAGTGTGCGTATGTCAACATATTACAGCCTTACCCATTATAAATATTAGGTTGTTACATAAGTCTTGTTACACTTAACTTCTAACGGCGATAAGTCATACATCTCATAGTCTTTGCAGGACTCCAAGGTACCATTCGATAGAGCAAAGCAAGTTCTACAAGATGGTCTGCAAAAGTTTGTGCCAGCTCCGACCCAGCGTAAGTTTGCTCCCAAAATCTGAGTCGTACTGAAATTCAAAAAATCGCGAAAAATTCATATCTTTGTTCAAACAAATCCCACGGATCTCCAACTTGCTCACAAAAATTGTCCACTATATCAAACACTCATATGTACCGTTGCTGTATTTTTTCCTTATCTAGAAATCGAGAAAAAGAATTTTTTTTAGTTTTTACAAAAATGAAGCTATGCTGTTTCTTTTCATGTAGCTGTATACTACAAGCCCTTAGAAGTATAACCGTAAATTTTCAGCTTTTCAGAAGCCCTAGTTTTCGAAAATTACCTAATTTAGCATTGAACACCCGAGTGATAAAAGCTAAATTTGGTATTTTTCAAAAACCAGAGCTTCTGAAAAGCTGAAAATTTACCGTTATACTTCTAAGGGCTTGTAGTATACAGCTAAATGAAAAGAAACAGCATAGCTTCATTTTTGTAAAAACTAAAAAAAATTCTTTTTCTCGATTTCTAGATGAGGATAAAATACAGCAACGGTACATATGAGTGTTTGATATAGTGGACAATTTTTGTGAGCAAGTTGGAGATCCGTAGGATTTGTTTGAACAAAGATATGAATTTTTCGCGATTTTTTGAATTTCAGTACGAATCAGATTTTGGGTGCAAACTTATGGTGGGTCGGAGCTGGCACAAACTTTTGCAGACCATCTTGTAGAGCTTACTTTGCTCTATCGAATGGTACCTTGGAGTCCTGCAAAGACTATGAGATGTATGACTTATCGCCGTTAGAAGTTAAGTGTAACAAGACTTATGTAACAACCTAATATTATGCATCTAGTTTTACGAATACTGCGGAAGGCAATTGAAAATCGGACAGAACTTTTGAAACAGCCTAGTATAAGCTGGCCCTAAACAAGATATTTCAGTAACTCTGAGAAGCAATGCGGAAAAATACAATAAATGTATAACTGAAAAACGTTTGCCTGATTGGCTGGTTATAAAAGTTTTTGAAAGTCTCAAATGAAAATTTCTGAATTTTCGCAGAAGTGCTAAAAATGAGGGTTGTGAGCTTTGAAGCTCACAAGAGAATGGTCAGAAGTCGAAGTGGCCAATCCATACAAGTTGCATATCATTAGATGCAGCATAAAACGCTGGCTCTAAATCTGTCTTCCTTATCTGCAGAGCGCTTCTGTGGACGAAATTATAAGCCGTTAAAAGTCATTATTTTGCTAAGGAATTGTGCGTGTAAAGTGCAAACTTGGCCGCACAAAGTCATTCTCGGCTCAGTGTTGGAATAAAACATGCAACTAAGTCACTTCATATGACCCGTACCTAGAGATGAACTGAAAGAGCAATAATATGCCTAATTTCGCAATTTTTGCTTACGGTTATTTCGCAGTAATGCTGCTCATAACTTCGCCTACAAAGGCGCTCTGCGGATATGGAAGATAGATTTGAAATCAGTATTTTATGCTACATCGAATGGTATGCAGCTTGTATGGATTGGCCACTTCGACTTCTGACCATTTCCTTGTCAGCGCTGGTTAAAGGAGTCGCACAGGGAGCATAATAGCTAGAAAGAGAAAAAAATCTGCATTGAACATCATTTAAGGTATTTGTTTATCTTAACTCTACTAGGGGATTTGCGGGTAGGTAAAAAATGGAAAGAAGATTTTGCGCTTACGCAGTTCAAACACTTCAAAATTACCGGAATGCACCATAATGACAGAAAAAAGCTTGACGAAATACAATTTTTTTTATTATGAACAAAAACACGCGTCTTATTTTTCTTCTTCTACTTTGCTGCTGCGGATGTACCCGAAGCTGCAGATGTACCAGTAGCCTTCGAAGATGCCTCAGCCTCCAGTTCCATTCCTGCTTCTTTCACGCGTTGTTCCCAAGTCTCTGCCAGATGCTTCTGAAATCATTATCTGTTGCTATCAAATATAATCTGCGAGGAAAATTGGAAAAGTGATCCAGTATTTCTATTAATACAGCGAACATTTTTCTGAAATAACAGATGAAGCAATGTATAGTTTTTTTATCGCAGAAAATTTTCGTTTGTTGCAGTCGAGGTGTAGTGACAAAAACGAAGGCTCGAGCGATTGTTTGGTAAACTATATGAAAATTAAAGCGGGAGTGAAGAAGGGAGCACATTACTTAAAGGACGGTGGCTGCAATGTTGCTGCCCACGAGCGTCTCCATCGCCACTCTGATGACACCTCCCAACACACCATACACGAGGCAAATCTCTTTCTCCCCTGTGTTTTGCTTAAGCAAAAGCCTCGGGTAGGGGAACGAACTCCGCCAGTTGAATCTTTTTCTTACAAAATCTCACAGCTACTTGTAGGTCAGCAAGAAAATCGCGACGGACATCTTACCGGTTCAGTTCAATTGTTCAGAGCGCAGCTTTTCGAAGACTCTACCTTCGCAAAGAATATCTCGGCAAATGAAATTGTACATGTTGCAGCTAGCTAAAGGTAGTGTCTCGGCAGGATTTCATTTTCCGGATTTTATTTTCGGGGCCTTCTCGCTGTAAGGAATCCACATCTGGGTTTTTCAGCTCATTAAGATGGCGGAAGCAACCTTCTTCCGAAGTTTTCCTGTTTCGCGAAGAATACGTGCATGTGGGCGGGGCTCGAACGAGGGAGGCGGGGCGCGGAAGAATTCTGGTGTATCTTTACTAAGTGCGGAACTGGAAAGCTTCGGAAAAAGCTCATTTTCGCTATTTGCATGCGCTGGAAAGCTGAGTATGGACCTCATTGCGAGAAGGCATCGAAAAGGTGAAAAAATGCAAGAAGAGATTTTGCCGAGATGCTGCTTTTGAGACAGTGAAATTGGCATTCAACAGGTGTCTTTTAGACGCTCCAATCTTCCAATTTGCAACTCAGACTCATCCACCGAGGTCAACTCAAACGATAAACTGTCAAAAGCGCAAATCATTGAGGGTGTCGACGATCTATAGAGCCCGAGCGATACTCAATAATATCAGGAAATGGCGCGTAAACGATGGAAGTTGGAACAACCAGTGCCGCCCAGGTTTTCCGCTGGGGAGGGGTGGGGGGGGGGGGACAACAATTTTTCTGAATGTTTTTTTACGGGTCGTTTCCGAAAATTTTTTAGGCCCATGCCACAGTCTTTAAGGCATGGCAAAGTTGACATGTCTGGTTAGTGCTCAAGTGCTTGAAAAGTCTTTTCATTCATCCATAACTTGGCTCACCTTGTGATAAACTTGATGGGCTTTTACTCCAACTACAAATAGAGCGGCTAACAATACGACAATAACTACTGTCCAGATGATCGCTTTGATGCTGCAATCTTTCACTTTGTCACAAGAGCAAAGAGACGAAACTTCTGTTTGCCTTTACTTTATATCGCTTTCTTCGACAGGAGGCGGAATGTGCATATTCTTTTTCAGGCATTGTAGTAACACTGTGTTCACTTCTATGTCAGAAGCCGAAGGGGGAATATCTAAGATTGAGCTAACTACAGGCCTCCACCTGTGGAACGGATGTGTGCCTTTCAGAAGCTTCAACCCCGTAAAGTTCCTGATTTTGAGAGAGTCGTCGAGGATTCTCTGGAAAAGTATCGCAATTGACATTGTGATTGTGTCCGACTAAGCCAAAATTATCTCCATTTTCTCTCATCACTTTGTTCGAATTTCAGTTAAGATTTCTCTGACAAGGGAATGGTCAGAAGTCGAAGTGGCCAATCCATACAAGCTGCATATCATTCGATGCAGCATAAAATGCTGCTGTCAAATCTGTCTTCCATATCTGCAGAGCGCCTTTGGCGAAATTATGAGCAGCTTTACTGCAAAAAAAACGATGACAAAAAATGCGAAATTAGGCACATTAATGCTCTTTTAGCTCACCTCTAGGTATGGGTCATATGAACTGACCTAGTTTCATGTTTTGGTCCAACACTGAGCCGAGAATGGCTTTGTACGGTCAAGTTTGCACTTTACACGCACAATTTCTTAGCAAAATAATGGCCTTCAACGGCTTATAATTTCGTCCACAAAAGCCTCTGCAGTTAGGGAAGACAGATTTAGAGTCAGCGTTTTATACTGCATCTAATGGTATGCAGTTTATATAGAATGGCCACTTCGACTTCTGACCATTCCCTTGTATGCTTTAGTGAAACTAGAGATGAAGTATCTTCAATTGGTGTTGGCTTAAAGCTTACCCTAACCGTTCTGGAAACTACCACTTCAGGCTAATGTCCCATTCCTGACGTTTGCAAATCAACGAGTTTTTGCTGAATGAAAGGGAAAGGCGCCGGAAGGTAGTAGAATTTTTCTCAGAAAGCTCGCATAATTCTTAAGTTGAGTTTTGCTAAGAGAAAATCGGCGTACGCCATCTTTTTGTATGTTTTCCTATGAAGCTGATTATTATTCTTAACGTAAGCACGTCACTCTCATAAATCCATCCCTCTGAGCTCCAGCCTTTACCGTATGATTGTGTATTGAAAACGAAGACAACCGGTTCATGTCTGCGTTGCATGCCTTAGCGAGTGCTACGTGTTCTACCCAATTTTTGAGTTGGCACGTGACAGTACTTTACTGAGACGTGGCACTGTTGAAAATGTAAGTGCTTCATAAACAAGACGACTCTCTTAGTGATTTCGACAAGAGCGGTAATCAATTCTTTCAAAATAAGTAGAAATTGAGACAAGATAGCAGGAATCTCTCGACTAGTTGGACATTCTGATCGCTTCCGCATCACCAGCGGACAGAGAAGAAACCCTTGGTCCAGAAAGCCTTGGAACAGACAGAGCAATTACGTTCTACCTCAATCACCGATTGTGCTTCACGTTACCCGATGGGTTACCAGAGAAACGAGAAGAAAGAAGACGCATAAAAACTTGACTATGAGTAAGAACATTGACACTAGAGCACGGATGCAGCTGGATGTCACATATTGTAAAATATCGATTGGCAAGTAAATATTCAAATATTTAAATATTCATTCATGTTGGTTATGTACTATGTACTACTATGTGGTTTGGCTGCAAAGAATTTACGCAAAGGTCGGGTGCTTTTATCATGTTCCTTCCTTACAACTGGCTGCTTTACTCGGCTTTGATGAAACTCACCAACCCCACCCACTTCACAACACTTCCCTATCACTCTTCCCACATTATACCATTACCATGTCTTCACTGCGTTGTCTGCATGCTCGCTTACCCGTCTACCGACTCCAAGCTTCTTAGCTCAAAGTTTGCAAAAAACAGATAAAATCGACGGAAAACTTGATGCTCTAGACGACTTTGTATTCATAATTAGGATACTTACTATCCCCTGTACCAACTCAACGCCTCCCCCCCCCGTCTCAAGATCTTCTGGAAAAACAAGAAATGAATATCGATCCTTAGCAAAAGTCTACGCCTCGTTTCGAAGTGTATGTATGTCAGTTTAGTTATGGCATTTTCTATTTAGCACATACAAACATACACAAGCACTCTTCTTGTATGTATTTGATATCAGACATTATTAAGTCTTCATCAAGTCAGAAATTAATGGCAACTACCAACCTCTAATTTTTCTTTGGAATTACAATAGTTTCTGTTGCAAAGACATGCAGCTAGATACAAAGGACGACTTATGAAAACACCGCATATAGGCAAATCCTGAAGGTTGTATATTTTATATTTGTATTGGTAGCACATCAAAATTCAAGTTGCAGATGTTGCAGAATATGTGCTACACTGGTCGTAGATGTAGCTATCAATGCGTGTATATAAAGGCTACTGCATGCCGAGGGTGCAAAAGCAGTATTAATTGAGCGGGCGCGAACGCGGCGCGCGTATCTTCACCGTTGTAAATCCTGCGCTTCATGCGTTCTGCGGCTAATAAAGCTGCGTTCGCTTCCAAAGATATTGCGCCTTCGTTATGCAGCAGCCTATAAGTTGCCTACTTTGCTTCCGCACTCATTCTGCAGCACCTGAGCGCAACACTCAATAAAACTAAACAAACTAAACATGGTTCAATGCGCAAACCTACCATTCTGTTTGTTCCCAAATTCCAGAAGTCATGATAGGTTGCTACTGTTGAACAACTGGGGAGGCCGTAAAAGTTGTACATGATACAGGAATCACTCTGAATGGCAAGGTTTACGCAGCGTTTCTTATGTTTATTTCATTTTCGGGAATGTGAGGCGGAGGTCGACAATATGCGCAAAATGCCTTTTCGTTGACTTCTACGATATTTTACCTGCGCTGAGTTCAGCGATGAATGCTGATCACAAAATTGCAGCTTTAGCTGCAAGACGCCTCCTCTTGAAGCTGATTTCAAAACACTGAAGTACGTGATTTCCTATTAAAATGGTCGCGGGTGTAGTTGTTTACTGGACAAAAGCTCGCTCAAATCCTTTTGCAACTAGCGCTTTTTGTTTTGCTTCAGACAAGACAACCTATTTCAATAAAGCTTCCGTAGAAAGTGATCGCGGTCTCGAGATCAACATTCGTTTTGATTTCAGCAACATTTGTTCAATTTAATCTGATCCTTTGACTAAAAGGATATTCCATATTAGCATCAAGACATGTAAGATCGACTGCACGAAATCACCTGGGTCGCTGTAGGCACACATGCGAGCCTGCCTACAAAGCGGCTGCCGTGTTCGGGCGCTACAATGACTCATGCGCGCGAATGCCCATGTTAGCTTGAAAGAGACAGGCTCGCGGGCATTCAGCCCAGTCGACTCACATCTTACAAGGGAAGGATACTTGGTTGAAACAGGATTTCTATGTGGAATGTTTACCATCTTATAGAGCATGGAACGCTGATTTCGAATCTGCTTTCCTTATCTGCAAAGCGCTTCTGGGAAGGCAGTTCTGGGAATTCCTTGTGGTAAAAATTCCATGGTTTGACTAAGGTAAGAACTGGTGGTGAGATCTTCCCGGCGCTTGAAAGGAGTAATGACCAGGGCTCGGCACAATCTAGCACCAGGGAAATTTCACAACGAAGTCCCGTTTGATCTTGAAAATTTCGTACGAAGTCCCCTTTGACCTATTTTGAAGACCCGTCATTAATTTTTAATTATGTAAAAGTATGTATTAGGCTTTCATGCATGCCGATTCCATGAAACAACTTTTCACAGCTTTCTGAGCTCTTCAAATGGTTGAATCACATCTTGAGAAGCAAAAAAAGCCGATTTTTCGACTGCGGAGCAGAATGAGTAATTTTTAAATGGATATAAAACGCTAAAAAGAAAACATTTTGAAATTGTTTTTTTTTGTATGTAAATTTTCATGGTGTAGATACATTTTATGTAAAAAAGTGTTAAAACTTAAGCAAAGTGTCGGTGCCAGCTCAGCTGGCGTCCTTTTGGCACGCTGCCAGCTAATTCAGGAAAAAGTTCAGCACAGCTTTCATTTACATAAGTTTTCATGAATTTCGGGCCATAGTTCGGGTCCTCCAGCAGTTGCCATAGTTCGCGCATGCACACACCAAATTTCGTGTCATACTATTGCGCTTTGGATGAAAATAACGCCTTCTTTGTTTGATAGACAGCATGCCGATGACATTCCGGTGGCATTCTTGCGGCTCTTCTCCGCCCAGGACCTCGGAAAAAACGATATCCCTTTGCTTGCCGTCTCAAAAACGATATCCAGCTTGGCCCGGTGCCAGCTATGCCGAGCCCTGGTAATGACTGACAAGAGCTTATTAGATTGAAGGTAGCATTGCGTGAAAGCCCTGGTAGTGATCATAGCCCCATTCGAGCTCATAGACTGCAGTTTGAATGATTTTATGGTAGCTGCTCTTTCGAATTTGCTCCAAGAAATTCCCACAACTTTCCTTCCAGAACGCTTTGCAGATACGGAAAGCAGATTCGGAATCAGCGTCCTAAGCTCTATAAGGCAGTCTACATTTCATGATGGAATGCCACTTCGGCCAAGTGTCCTTCCCTTATTAGCGCACTGCCGTGTCAACTTAAACACCGAAGAGTTTTTGAGAGGCAGAAAATCTCGGATCGTCTCCCTCTCACTACACCTTGATGTAACTTTTCTTCAATGTCCATGTTCCAGAATTCTGCGTTTTTGCTTCTCGCTCGAGCAAGGTGGGGCACTTTAGTCGAAACATATTAGCTACAGCATTTAAACAAAGTTATCTCAATAAGCTTTACACAAATTGAAAAAAATTTAAATAAACACCAGGGCAGGAGGCATTTGCTCTCATAATAATGAGAGTACTTATGGTATAACAGAACTACTAGGCCGCATTGTTATTTATCTGATGCTGTACCAGTGTTCTCCAAACTATTAGGTTGTTAAGTAAATTTCGTCTTCAGATAAATCAAGCTGTTTATTCTTTTCAACAGACTTAAGGCACCATTCGATAGAGCGTAGCAAGCTCTAAAAAAGGCCGCCAAAGATCCACTTAAATCACGATTCAGCTAAAATTTGGAACTAAAATCAGAACCTTTCAGCTACCTTAACAATCGCACACCCTCCACGAAATCCTTACTGATTTCCAACTCGCTCTCCACGTTAGACACATAGTAGTACCCAAAAATTTGTTTGGTTGATTTTTTTCTGAGCTCAAAATTTAGAAACAATGATGGTGCGAAAATCTCAAAATGCCTCCTTTTTTCGGATTTTCAATGTAAAACTTGGTATTTCTTGATTATAAGAAGACATACAGGCGTGAAGTTTTGAGACGATACTTACAAGAGGCGGACCCAGGCGGAGTCGAAAGTGCGAAATGAGCTAAACACATCATCTGAATCAGCGTGAGACGCTGATTCCAAATATGTATCCATTATCTGCCAAGCGGTTCTCTAAAAGGAGTTATGAGCCTCGGTTGCTCGTTGACATGTCAAGTTTCGTTAAGTAGGATCCGCACCTGGAAACCAGATGTGGTTGTCTGGTGTAGTGGATAAGCGCGGAGCCTATGGAGCAGATGGTCGAGGGTTCGAATTCTCTTCCCATTCAACGTTTTTGCAAGTTAAGAATGTTTGTTTTGCGCTATAAGGGGTATCCTGCGCACATGTACGGACTTCAGATCACAATCTACTGCTGAAAAGTTGGGATTTTCGCAATTTTTCTTTCACCAAGGTTTTAGCCGCTGGTGTGACAGTCATTGGAATCAAATCTAGTGTATGTGTGCGACAATGTGCTAGTGTGCCTGCTCTCAATATGAAATATGGAATTTGAAGCAGTATTTTTGAGTAAGATTTTTTATGCCTAAATCTAAAAGCAGAGGTATACATCTTTAAAAATTTGTGATTGACCTGCAGAGCTGCTAATCTTGTTGAGACGGGAACGTAAACATGGAACGTTCGCAAAGATTCAGAAATTTCATCTCTTATGCATGTTGCCTCCGGTTACACAGAAGCCCACACCGGCCATTTCGAAAATCCGCTTCAGTACTGTTTCTGACCTTCTATGTTAGGCAACTGTGAGATTGGTGACTGCACTCAATTGTTTTTCATCAAATGTGCTCATTGCGAGAAGTTGCTCTGTTTCGAGCACTTTGTTCTATCCTATCATAGATGCGCATAAATGTCCGGTTACCTAAAGTGTGCCGACTCTGTAACGATTCAAAATGTTGATCTGCAGCAGAAGTTATGTGAAAACTCACAGCACATTGTCACTCACATAGGTAAGATATACCGCTGACTGTCATACCAGCGGGTAAAACGTTAGTGAAAAAAAAAGTTACAAAAATCCCAACTTTTCAACAGTAGATTATGAAGTCCGTACATGTGCGGGGGATACCCCTTATAGCGCAAAACAAACATATTCTTAACTTGCAAAAATGATAAACAGGAAAAGGATTCGAACCCCCGACCATCTGCTCCATAGGCTCCGCGCTTATTCACTACACCAGACGACCACACTTGGTTTCCAGGTGCGGATCCTACTTGACGAAACTTGACATGTCAACGAGCAGCCGAGGCTCATAACTCCTTTTAGAGAACCGCTTGGCAGATAATGGATACAGATTTGGAATCAGCGTTTCACGCTGATTTAGATGATGTATAGCTTACCTCATTTCGCACTTTTGACTCTGGGTCCGCACCTTGTTAGTAAAGCCTGTAGTATACGATGCAAGCGTGGGACGGGCTTGAGGCGAAGTTTGCCATTTTTGGGCTGTCTTTTTTCTCGCTTTCTATGGGCGGAAAAAATCCAGTAAAAGCATATTTGAGTACTAATATGTGCCTACTGTACAACGACAAATTGGGGTCCGTTGGACTTCCTTTCACAAAAATTTATTTTCATGTGACAATTTTTTCCGGTTCTGACTTCAAACTTTACATGGAATGCCACTTAGGCAAATCCTTGGTGTTCATTTTGTAGAGTATCTGCTCTACCGGACGGTATCCTTAATCAACCATGAAAATAAAAACAGCTTGAATTATTCAAGAAAGGAGTTTACTTTGAGGAAACCTAATACTTTTTTGATATTTAAAATTACTCACCTGTTCATTTTTTTCTACGGTTATATCGGATCCTGTTGTTTTATGACACCTTATTCCTTTAATTGCTTGACTTTTGAAAATCAATAGAATTAAGCATTTCGTGATCACTGTAAAATTTGCGTAATGATTGCTACGTTTTCCTTATTACATAAGAACTTATGCTTCATTTCCCAAAACCATGTTCGAAATGACTTGACTTTGAAACTTAATGATACCGATGATGGAAGGGCAGACACGTTTGAGGAGTTTTGACTAACGAGGGAGGTACTTTCAATGGCCGCGGCTTTTTGATATGAGATGCATATCCTCTGAAGCAGCTTCGAACGCCGATAAAAAATCTGCTTTCCATTTCTGCGGAGCGCCCTTCTGGAGAGAGTTATGGAAGCCTGAATGTCCTATTTTAGGGGCGCTCTTTGAGTTTGAGAGCGGGTATGAGCGTCGGTGGTGCAGTGGTGTAATGGTTAGTTGTTGGCAATGAAGGCCAAAGGTCGGTAGTTCGAACCCGGTGCAGAGCGAACCATTTTGCACTTTGTATGTGTTCAAAAACCACTCTAATTCGTCTGCAGTCACTCACTGTAATGCCCTTGGCTGTGACTTAAGGGAAAAATTTTCTGGCATAACTGCTCGTAATGAGACCCTGAAACTCTACCTGACTTCGTTATCAGTTCAACATGAATGAACATTTTGAAGCATGCTCATCACCTCACCATAAATAGCTCAAGGAATGAGCACTATCATTAATCGTGAAGATTTTCTCTCCTGCCTTCACTTTAATGGGTACTTACGAGCATGTTACATAGTTAGCATACACTGTTCCCGTTGCGAGAAATGTCTGTGTTTTGCCCACTTTGTAAATTCGCTTCACCTCTGTACATATGTTCGCTGGTGGTTCGCTCTTTACTGGGTTCGATCCACCGACCTTTCATCTTCAATGCCAACAACTAACCACTGCACCACTGCACCACTTACGCTCATAGCAGCGCTCTCAAACTCAAAGAGCGCCCCCAAAACGGGTTATTCAGGGCTTCCATAACTCTCTTCAGAAGGGCGCTCCGCAGAAACGAAAAGCAGATTTGAAATCAGCGTTCGAAGCTGCTTCAGAGATATGCATCTCATATCAAAAGGCCAGCCATTGATAGTACCTCCCTTGTAAGCTTCATTGAAGACTTATTCTTTGGTTGATCTCTCTGATAAACTTTTCACATTTTGTCTCTAACGCAGAGCCAACGCTTATCTATGACTCAATTAATCCTTCAATACTCAGTCGATGTTTGACGTCTTTTTGCAAGGTGTGGTGTTCACACATTTCGTGAAAGCAAGGTCATCTATTTTGAGCACTTGCGCACCGAACTCTTTCTGCAGTAAGAAAGGAAAACTGGGCGCAAACGAGAAGGTGTTGGCAGATTTGGCTGTACTATACCATTTTAAAATTAATTGTGGCCTATTAAACAAGGCGTTAAAAAGCCTATTAAACAAGATCTATTTACTTTCAAGAAGTTTTGAAATGGAACTTTGCTTAAAGGCCATAGCTCAACATTTTGAATGGAGCCCTCTTTACCTCCGAATTTGTGTTTTGGTGTTGGCATATGCTGCGTATCGTATTCATCTGCTCAAAAGCTAGTCCAAGACCAAGGCAGCGTCCAAGTACGCGAGGCGTGCGCGCCCGTATGAGCTGCAGTGATGAAAGATGCTCGGACACGCGAGTCGCAGCCGCGTCGCACGTTGAACCGGCCACCTTCGTTATGGAAGAGCCAATCGAAGAGAACACGAATTTAATCCCAAGCAACTTCCAAACAAGGAAAAGCGATTTTTAAGGAGCAGAAAGAGACAATGTAAGCCAAACACGTGACTACGTTTTAGGCCTCGGACAGAACGCGATCTCATTACCACGATTCACACGACGACAACTGTTACGAGTTCATTGCATGCCGACCAGCTTGCATTTCGATTGTGATGCTTTACCAGCACGAAATTTTTGAATGTAAATGAAAATGAACGAAAATCGCTGCGATTAAATCGCGACGATCAAATCGCGTGAACTCTGTCCGAGGCCCTAGACAGGCGCTATACTCCTCGAGGAGTATAGCATGGCGACTGGCACAGTCGTCAATACTGGCGACTGTGTCTTCTATGCGTATCGATCTTTAACTAGTTACCACACGTCCAATCGATATACATTCAATGTGTAGTCGCCAACACTGGCGACTGGCGATCGCCAGTTTTCGGCGACTACAGGTTTGATACATATCGATTTGAGATTTGACGTGTGGTAACTTGTTTGGCGATTGGCGATCGCCAGTCATTAATATCGGCGACGGGCGATCGCCAATTGTAGCGATTGGCGATCGCCAATTTCGGCGACAAAAATCGTCGGTTTTACACGTATTTGATGCATATCGATCGTCGCCATGCTATACTCCTCCAGGAGTATAGCGCCTGCCTCAAACAACCATCGCGCTTGACGCTCTTTTTGGGAGCTTAAAGAGATACCTCTTGAGCAAGGCCTTGAGCTTTGATCACGAGGATGACATATGAAGGCATCATGATGCAAACAAATACAAATAAAATGCTGTGCTAAAAAGCAACGGAGACGCAATCAAACATCCCTTCTCATGAAGATTTTTTATAGAAAGCCTCAGTCGCAGCTTAATCCCAGTCAATAAAGCGAATGTGAAATAATTCAGCTAAACGTAACAGGCAACCTTAATACTTTTTCGCGAAATATGCGCTTGTCAGATTCCAGACACATTGAAAGGGAACACTCACAATCACACACCATACTGTTTCGTAAATTGCTGAAAATGAGACTTGCACATTACTGCTTAATATGCGAAAACGATAGGCTTGTCAAACACGGTTCACATGTAATTCAAAGTGATTTCTCTGAATAACTACAAGTTTATTGAGTAACGAACGTAGGAAGTGTTGGTTTTATCTTCTACTTGCTTCGTAAGCACTCAAAAAAGAATAAGTATAAAGGGTCGGGCATACTTCACGCTATTTCAGTCGCGACGCGATTTGGCTATTCGCCAGAAGTTTTCAGATCCAACACTAGCAAACGGCACATGCATAGTGTGTATAACTTACGTGAATTGATAAAATGCCTTATCTTCTGTACATTTAAAATGTGCCTACAGTGAGTTATGGACAGTTGAAATATTGCCAAATCGCGTCGCGATTGGAATTGCGTAAAGTATGCCCGGCCCTTAAAGCAAAGGGAAGCGCGTATAAAGATGCTTTCGAGGCTGTTAAGTTAAAAGCACTGAAAAAAGTATAGTTTCTCGTTAGCAAAATAACATTAGCTATCCAACCAGTTTCATCTTTCGCCTGTGTTCAAATTTCTACTAGGTGTGACACTACTAGGTGTGACAGCATAACATCATAGGCTTCAAACAACCCGCTTATCACTTTGAATGGTTCTAACTCTTAACCTTGCGTAATTAATCTTATCTATAAAGCTGAATGTGTGTCTGTCTGTCTGTTTGTCTGTCTGTCTGTACGTATGTGCGGAATAGAAATTTTTATTTCTGAACCGATCCGGACCAAACTTGGCACACATACACTTCGGGCCCCGGCGGGTGTCATAGGCTACTTTTCGTCATCGATCGATATCGATTTTTTGCAAAATTTGAGCTACGGGGCTGGGAGTTGGCACAGGGGGGTAATCGAGCATGCTGATTACAAATATGATAATGACAGGGCCGGGCGGAGCCGGGGTTGCCATCTAGTGCATAATATCTGTTGTAGCCTTCTACTTGTACTTGTACTTGTAACTGGGTCCGGGACACTTGTAGAATACTAGATTTATTAGTAGACCGGATATGAATAAGAACAGAGGATAAGACGAGACGAACGAATGAGTTAGCTAGCAGGGAGCGCCTTATATAGCGCTCAGATCCCGCGCATAGGTCAATACAACACCCATAGACCAGATCGCTAAACAACAACATACAAACAATAACAAATACAATGCTACTCTCCGACATCTCTCCCCTTATTATCAATTGTATCGCTTCTTTGACGGGTCGATCACGATGCGGCATGGTGGTCGATGTGTCCTTTGCGGCCGTCGGCGAAGTGGCGTTGGAGACAGTTGAGTGGCGGCGGCATCAGCGTCTACGGATTCGGCATCGGCAGCTGAGATATTGGGAGATGCTGCTTCATCATCGAGATCGGCGTCTTGGGAAGCGAGAACATTAGTGGAAACGGCAGGCGACGGCTTAGGTTTAGAGAGCGCAAAATCTGGAAGGTGGAACTCTCTCAACAGCGTCGTAGTGGCGTCGGGAACCTTGCGATGGCGTAGTTGGTTGGCTGGCGCCTCCATAAAAATCTTTCGACTTCCACGTTGTAGAGTGAGCGTCCAATTTGATTGCACACGTCCTGGAGTCCAAGTAGGCTTCGATGGATTACGGTAGTCGCGAACGTAGACGGCATCGGAAAGGAGAAAATCTCTAGATCACCATTTTGTCAAGGTCTTGCCTAAGGAAATAAATGACTTATGCGCAAAGCTGTAGCTCATAGTTGCCATTGAGGGTCATAGTAGGTTCGGAACTGATCGGAACACAATTGTTGTTCTGCACAAAAAGTTTTCTCTCAGCTAACGATCTTACATAAAAAGTCCGTTCACGAGACTAGCTAGGACACTGCAAACGGCGGTGCGAAGCATTCACTCACGGCTGGCCATCCCCTAACACTCCATGCTTGTGCCAGACTCCAACTCGAGTAAGCTAGGATGGGCTCCAGCGCAAAGTAGTGTTAAAGTGAGCGAAATCATTCGGTTACGGTCACGGCGCAGGCGCGTACGGTTTGGGAACGAATTTTCGACCCTTGAACGAATCAATTGCGCTACCGCTTGAGCAGTGCCTTAGTTATGGCCCTTCACTGGCTTCTAAGCAAAAAACCCATGCGCCTAAATTTGCCTGGGCACTGCTTTTGAAAGCAGCATTTAGTCGCAAGTTCTTTGATGTGTTCGGGCTGGGAGTAAAAAAAACAAGTACGCCTAATACAAAAAATTAAGGTAATCAGAAAAACTCAGCAAAATGTAATTTCTCTTAAACGCTTCGCGACCTTCCTCCTTCATGTAATTCAACCAATGATTTTCAAACCAACGCTTATCATCCGATTAATGGATGATCATGGCAAAAACACAGCATAATGGCAGCAGATGGTCAAGTTCATTCTATCTTGATACTCTACATCCAACAGCGTATCGTGTCAACTATGTCACTCAACGTCGAACCCTGTGTCGGCAACTTCCCTGCCACTGGTGGAAACGCTACACACAACATTATCTCACTAGTCGACACAAGACTTGCATTTAAGGTAGATTATGCTTGGCTTAATTTTAATCAAATGGCTAGAGTTCAGGTAAAATCTTCAAATAATGACCATTATCGTGTGCGTCCAGTTTATGGATTTGTGGAAGCCAAGGTATTCAGAATTGGTCAATACAAAGACTGACCAATTATTCAGTGCCGAAAAATCACTTAGGTTTTAGGCTACTACAACTTTGGAAATTGTCCGCTTGACTGGCCCACCGAAAGAGGATAAGCTAGTCATTCAATGGGCTGAGGTGGAGCTGGAGCATAACCATTGACTATCTAATATTGAAAGATCTTTTCAGGTTCCTGCCGATGAAACTGATCCGACAGCACCATTCAAAGCCGGTGCTCAATCAGGCGAAGTAATCCTTCCCATCAAAGCTGAATAATTAGATTCTTGATGCACACGTATTGTAGTAAAGTACATGATAAATTTTTTTTATAAAAATTCAGTGAGCGTTCAATCCGAATGGGTGAATTGCTGATTCAGTTGTTGAAAGCGTATGTGCTTACATTCTTTCAGCTTCTTTTCAGCAGTTGTCTGCAGTTAGGTAAACAAAATTCGATAAACGGTTATCCTCTACCGATGGTGAGATGTAGATTGCTCAATGAGCCGAAGAATCAGATACTACGATATTGGTTGTCCTGTTGAGCAAGACCCCCGCAACTGTCCATTTCGCACTATTTTGAGTATCCTCCAGTAAAACCTGAGAGTAGAGTTATTTCAGCAATGAAACGAAATGCACACAAATCACGCTCTCAGGCTCGCACAACATTGCTAAATGGGGCAACTGATACAACTTCTTGCGGTGACTTGGCGCGCATTCCCTCGCTTTGTAGCTATAACGCATTTTGGAACCCACTCGGTTAAGCATTAATGTAGCGGCATCAAATCTTCGCATAAGCGACGAAATATTGAGCGGATTTGTTCAGTTGATCACTGATTTTTCGCGCGATTCATAAAGTCATATTGAAACTGATCCAACATCAAAGGCAGCTTCCAATGATATAACGGTACAAAAAAAACTTACAATGCAATGGCGTCAGTTCTGGTAAAGCTCTTGCCCAAGGACATCAAACCAATCGCTTCTGAAGCGAAAATCCGATTTGGAAAAGGAATTTTAACGCTTTGAAATCGATGTCAGGGTCCGCCTATCGCACACAGTTAAGGCATAGGGTCCAACAACGACTCTGTGTCTCAAGCATGCGGGCGGGCGTCCGAATGCAATCAAAGGGCTTCTGGAATGGCCAATCTTGAAATTTCGTGCACCCTAGGCTGCATTTTGGAAGTTAGCTGGGAGGATAAGCCCATGAAAGCGAAAGAATCTGATTCAAGTTTTTGCTTGGAAGCTGTTTTCAAGTAACTCATCAAGAAGAATATTCACTCTCATTTAATCTGAATTCACAAGCAAATGAGCTCTTACAGAATCGAGTCGGTTTGATTTCGTCCTCCGAAGACTTTACAGATCCAAAACAGAAATCCGTTAGAAAGAGGGGAACTGCATCAAATGACACTCGAGCTGCTCCCGGATGGCTTTTTGAGAGTAGATTTTACCAGATATGAATTCCGTAGATTGTGAAAAGCATGCTATAGAAAGGAGAACAATTGTGTTGTATTCTGTAGAGTTTACTATATCCACAAGTTAATTGAGCTTTCGGAAAATCAATACAAGTAAAAAAAAAACGGCGAAATTTGACCATGACAGAAACATGAGTCGCATTCTTGATAAAAAAAAAATGGAAATTACGGAACGCTAATATTAGGTTGTAAAGAAAGTTCTGATATAGTTCTGCCAATTCTTCTCGTAAATACCAAAAATGAATGCGAATGCAAAGGGAGGTTTGAGATGTGTTCTAAGAGTGCGATTAACACGCTATTCAGCTCGAAAAGATGACAATCAACTGGGAAGAAATGCCAAAAAAGGAGAAAAATCCGTTGCGCTCAGGTCTGGGAAAAGGGACATTTTTCAGTTATGGACGCGCAGAACTTACAGAAGCTTGATTTGAAAATCTTTTTTTGTATCCTGTGTGTTGGCTAGGTGAAGCAATATCCGTCTATTACTTGCCCCGGTACCCGGACCTTTTTGCAAGCAAAAAATTAAAAAATCAAAAATTGAATAATTCTCTACATGTTTTGAAACGCAGCCAGCGCGCTTTTAGAAAAAGAGCTTCTATGACATACTTTATCAGTAATCTAAGATTGTCAGTATACATTACGAAATATCGCTAAATGACAGCCACTCATGATGAAGATATAAATAAAACAATTTAGCTCAGCGTCGACTGGCAGAACTTTCTTTACAACCTAATATAATGCCTAATTTTACTAAAATGAGACTTCAAATCTTTACTAAATCCTACTCTCAAATAATAACAAGTTTATGAACACTGCCTTATTAAGCATCTTTCTCTCTCTCATCCTCGATACATAGAGCCACGTACTCTGGTAACCTTCACTTTGAGTGCTATTGGACACAACCTTCACTTGGAAAAAACAGAAGTCATCCGGGGCTTCGCCCCGGATGTTTATCCTGACTATATCGGAACGAATGTTAATGGAGCAAATATAGGAAATATTATCTTTAGCTTATCTCAGCGAAACCGAGGATCTGCATTTGAATAGCCTTTTTTGCGTTTAAAAAAAGGTTTCTGTGGAATTTTCGCCAGAATCTAGGACAAAATTTCTCAGTTAACCTTTAGTTTGACCAAAATCGAGTTTAAGAAGTTTAGGAAAGCTATTGGAGTTGAATAAAAACGAGAAACTGCGCTTAAATCTAGCGCAGAAATCGCGCACGGTAACGCTGGTCTATCTCGTTAATGAGTGATTTTCAAAGCATGGGACGTTGTCAGTTCTCCTCGTCGTATCATGACGATTAGAATGATATATAATGTTGCAGGGTTTCGCTGTGACCCCGCGGAGATCTCGACCAGAGCCAAATGCCCCTCGGCTCTGGTCTGTCTCCGCTGCTCGTCTGCGTCTCCGCGCGCTGCGCGCTACCTCGCTACCCCAAACGCGGGGCGCGTGGCATTTGGCTCTGATACCCTTTTCTTCGCTGTTTCGAACCCAATTTTAGCAAGATATATATCATTTTGAAGCTCTTGATCTCTATTTTCAGGCTGACAACGTCCCAAGACCATATTTTTTAATCTGATCGAGAAATCCGGCAAAAACCTTGTTTTCGAAAATCTCTTGTTTTTCTCCTAGTTCAACTCTTTTCACGCGGTTTTTTCGTGCATTCTATAAATCTGGCTTCTGTTCATAATGCAGACAACCACCCAGCCCTTATCTCTTCGATTGGTCGAATTTTTTGCGAAAAATCGTAGAAAGTACGTTTTCCTTTACCTTGTTCTGTTTTAGTGATTTCGCAGCGATTTTTTTCGAGCTTGGGCGATGGTTGCTCATAACAATAAGCGCAAGAATCTAGACAACGTCCCAGGGAACAGGAACGTCAAGGCGGGGGTAAAAATTCAAAGGACGCATCTAAAATCGAAACCCCGTGTTGCGAATTGCTGGTCCTGGAGCGAAAAGTTGCACTTTGAAAAGCCGCCAAAGAAAGATTGCAAACCTCATTGCGGCGTTTTTATCCAGTTTTCAACAGTTTCTTTTGCTTTTTTCATTTGTTTTACTCACTTTTTCTTCTCTGGTCCTCTTTAAACAACCCTCACTATTTATGGTGTCAGATGTTCAAACAACCTTCACTTTTGGCGCCCTGTCTCTAGACTATCGAAGGTGTGCTCTCTCTTTTACTTGATCAGCGCCAGTCGACAAGAAATGTGCATTGTATGACATGCGAATATGAATTAAAGTCACAAATCACATTTTTTCTTTCTTCGCAAACCGTAAAGTTTATTAAAGCCCTTTGGTATGCAAATGATATGCACATGTAATCATTGCTATTCATACAAAGTCAAAAAGTTTTTTCTTTCTTGAACTTTGAAGTTTTCAAATTCTCCCATTTTTGCTTACTGCAAAACGTATTGAATTGGCATAGACTGTGAAGTAAAGGGAGCAACACTCGAACATAAACAATGTTCTTAGCCGAAAACGATATCGCATTTTTGCGGTTTGGTGTGAACTTTTGTACGATTATGCGGCAAAACCAGTTTTCATTATGGTATAAAACAGTCAGATGTGAACGGAATGTGTTACACTTCAGTCCGCCATGGGCTCATCGGAAGGTAAGTGATTAATCTTGTCTGAGAGGTACCGAAAATTTTAGTGTTGCAAGACCAAAAGTTAGAAACTATTTCATAGATATACGTATTCTTCATCATTTTTGGAATTTAGAAGCTAAGAATATCCTCACGCCTATCCTGAGTGAGCTCAAAAAGCAGCGAGACGCACACAATTTTGAAAAGGTATGTGTAGCCTTTTCTTCTTATGAACGTGTTATCTAGGAAAGTTAGTGAGTTCTTGCAAAACTTCTATGATTAGATTTTTCTGCGTTAGGACAGTCATCTAATGCTTGTCGAAAAACTCGTAACTCTTTCATATAAATAAGCTTTAAGGTGTCCGAATTTTATGATCAAAATGCTGTACATGTTCATGCTGGAGAAGCTGTTTACGGGAAAGATGGTAACATGACAGCAATGAATTCTTTTGTAAATAATGCTCATCTCACCTTTTAGCAATAAATGAACATTCGAAGAAGTTCTTAGAAAAATCTGGGAAGTTGACTACAAAGGTAACCATCTCAAAAACTCTTGGTAATACATGATATCTACTTCTACTTGTAGTTGTCCAATGAGAAGTTCGACATGGCAGGAGACTTCATCATTCTCACATCTGACTACGAAACGCAGACGGAAAAGATCGGTGTGCTCAAGGGCAAATTCACTCAGATATGGCGCAAAAACAATGACACTTATCTACTTCTACACATAGAATACGTACCACAATGAAATAACGCAGCTACTATTTTTATTCGCCTTTCTTAGGATAAATTCTTCCGTGGCTGGTTCCGAATAATTTGGCATAGAGTTTATAGATACACCAATCGCGCTTAACTAAAAATTCCATTACAATGAAAAACAGTGGCGTTCGGTAGTATAGACTTTGTTTTAGAGAAAAAGAATTTTTTAAATTCAAGTTGTTGAAGCAGATTTCAACTCCAGGGAACAAAATGGTTAATTTTAACTGATTTTGACCCAACTTCGCATAACATTGGTTTTTAGACAACGGAAAAGGGGAACTTTTTGCCTACATCCGCAAGTAGAAGCTAGGCCATAATTTCGCAAAAAAGATGTCCTCAATGTTGCAATGAGATTGTTATGATAGCCTTTGATATATTCGAGTCTTTCAATAGATTGTTTATCTAATCTTGTTTTGGCTTAATCACTACGATGTAAGCACTTTTGCAAAAAGACAGAAGTTTTGGATAATTCTGAGATCCTTCAAGTGTTACTCAATCTCATCTTCCATCCTTTTTATGTATAACCAACAGACCCTTGTTCCATACCCGTACAATACCGCCGACATAACATGCAAAATTTTCGTGAATGTCGCGAAAATCCGTCGCAATTTCGCGACATTTACGGAAATTTTGCACGTTATGTGGGCGATATTGTATGTGAAAAACGCAGAGCTAGATTTCCGATTTTGATGAAAGTTTTGCGAAAGCAAGAATAAATAATCTTATTCTTTGCATCGTGATAGCTGTGACCTTTCATGGAGAAATGAAACCTTTTTTACACTAACTGTCAAAAATACTGGACTCTTAATAGTTGATGGAACGTCTGATTAGGGAATCTGTCTTGCAAAATGACGTTTACTTTTGAAGCAAGACGAATGCTCAGTTCGGACAACTATCAATCTTGAAAAGTAGACTCAACTTTTTGATAATTTGGGGCGTCTAAGGCCGTCTCCAGTTGTACGCAATTTGGAGATAGATGACCTATTTTATGCGGTTATCTATGCTTTAAAAGCTACCATAAAATACAAATAGTCGTTGAAGTTGACTTTAAGTTTGGATGCTTTTGTATTATTCCAAAAAAAAAAAATGTACAGGGTGTCCCAAAAGTGAGTACACACTTTTCAATCTCAATATCTCTCTTCCCATTGCCTCTTTTTCTGCCATTTGAGTGTCACTGTAGAGGAGGCTTCAGCTTAGATTTACAGTATCGAGCAAATCACCGTTTGCCCTTCATTACTGTAGAATTACTGTAGGAACTTCGGCAAGGATTTTAGGCCATTGGAAGCTATATTCTGCCTCGGAACAAAACCACACAAGCCAAAAACTTTTATACCATGGTAATGGAATCCGCTGATTTCGAATATGAAACTTACTGTGATGCTTTTTTGCAAAGTCATTTCAGGTAAACCGTAATAACGAAATCCCAGTATCTGTTAAAAATGTGATTACACCGCCAAAAAAGCTGAAACACTTGTAAAAAGTAGTTAGTGGAATCAGCGTGTGCGAAAACCTTAGTGCACGATTTTTCAAGTTTTTTGAAAAAATTTTGTCGTTTTTGTCGTTTGGCATACTTCACAATGGTTCACATGCTGGAAGTTCCTACCGTAACCCTACAGTAACGAAAAGCGATCGATGATTTGCTTGATACTGTAAATCTAAGTTGAAGCCTCCTATACAAAATGGTGCTTTAGTGACAAAAAAAAGACCCATTGGGAAAAGAGATATTGGCGATTGAAAAGTGTCTACTTACTTTTGGGACACCCTGTATTAGGTTGAATCAAAGGTTCTGTCGTACCAATTTTGAAACTCGTAAACGTCATAATTTTGCGACTCTTATATTGTTAAGAGTAAAACATTCACTGTTTGATAATACCTTGATCACTCTTTAATGGACTTTGAATGCAGAGATAAAATGGAAAATGTGATCCCTTGAGGTTTGATGATTCTAAGCACGTCGTTGAAAATCGGCACATATTGGCACATGTATATTGACCAACAGCAAAAATAGTGACTAATGTTGATGTTCTCAACAGATACGATGCTGAAAGTGACCACCGGCTCATTAGAGCTGACATCCACATCGTACAAAGACCGTCCTCGTCTACCCCCTTCTGCTGTGAGCTTAAAATGAAAGCAGCTATGCTCAATGTTTCCGACATCTCATTCGCGATTTCGATTCCAAATGACCTGATAGATTTATTGCAATAGCAAGTCTATCTAAGAACCTGCTTACGCCGAAACGTTGGGAACTGCTAAGGCGATTTCACGATAGTAAACTGAAACATTTTATGAAGACAAGTGACGAATTTGTAATAAGCAAATGTGTGCAAAGCTGCTCGTTGGTTAATAAAAAAAGATCTCTTAGACATCACCATTCCGTACTGAAGAGAGCCATTCAGCGGAATCAAACAAGACGTGTTTTTGAACTCTCACGTCAATGTGAAGTCATAAGCAGGCTACTCCGACAGAACGGGACGATGACTGTCAGCCCACCGAAGCTAAAATTCACCGTCGATGAATTAAAAAAAGCAGCTTTAAAAATTCGCGGTAACACGGCCCTTAGCATTGACTGCATTCGCTAGAAAGCTGCTAAGTGTGGCGTAGAAGTTGTTGGCTCTAAACTTGCTAGCATTATCAAACAACTGTTTGGGGTCTCCACCATATTTGCCCAAGCCCCCATCAGTTTTCTCTACAAGAAGGACGATCGTTATAATTTCAAGGATTACCGCTCGATTTTCCTGTTGCCCACAGTTTACAAAGTCCTGACAAAAGCCAACATCCTCAGCCACCGATTATTTACAATCAATCAATCAATCAATCAATCAATCAATTATTAAAACAAACATTGCTCATTGAAACAGAATACCATTACAATTTATAACCTGGCTTACTGTTCCTCGTCCCAAAAGGCCTTCGACACCGTTTACTTTGACGCAATATTGAAAGTCCTTGAACAATTCCAATGACACTGACACAACGATGATACAACCTATATCAAGCAGCTACTGCTTACTTCAGATTGACAACAATAATGCTCAATTATAAGTAGAGAGAGGAGTCCGCCAAGGAAATGCGTTGTCACCGCTCTATTCATCACTTGTCTTCAGTCTGCAATTGAATCTTTTCCATAGGAAGATGCAAATGGCTACGAAATCAGTGACAGTGGATAGTGGAAGACAATGGAAGTAGAAGACATCTCGGTTACCTTGCTTTTGCATTCGACGCTGTGCTTATACATTATCCAACTCGACTGCAAACTTACTATATCGACAACTTTTTGATGCGTGCCGTCAAATCGGACTTCAGGGCCGGTAGTAATCTACCCTACCTGGTGGCATCATAGATACCGGCAAGTTGGCACACATCGCGGAAAGAAGCCAACTCCTTCGGCAGCTAGCGGAGTGATTGTAGGCTATGATAGTAATCTTAAATAACCTTAGTACGCAATCATTTCGCACATTAAATTTTGATAACGCAGACAGCCGCAAAACTGCCACCTCGCGCGCAGTCGAACCTAAGCGCGCTAATTCCAAGTGCCACCCGTTAACCATTCGAGCACTCGGTCAGCCATTGCCGTTTGCACCAGCAATAGGAGGAACGCGCTGGTAATTGGCTGCCTGTAAGAGGGATCGATACATTGCGCGAGAGACTTTGACCTGAAAGAACAGCTGATGGATATGAGTGAGAGAGAGGCGAAAACTTTGCAGACAATGTTTAAAGGAATTACAAGAAGGAGATGGCGTTCTTTCTCGTTTTGTAATATTATTAGTCATTTTTTCTACAGATATATAAAGAATTTAAACGAGGAAAAACCCATATAATGACAAAAATGATTGTTTTTGATAGAAAATAAATTTTTCTAGTCCGTCGGCTTGACGTAAATTGTGTGATATTCCGCAATACCCAAACTCCCAGACTCCGTCGGCAAAGGTGCCACCACCTCGACGTGGTAGGGGCACGTCGAGATGCCGGCAGCTCCCCCTCTTAAAAAAGCAGGCTATTTCCCGTGCTCTCTGACCTGCCGGCAGCTGCCATCTCGCAGATTTCGACGAGTTGCCGGCAGGTTGCCGGCAACCGACTTCGCGAAGTTGCCGGCAGCTCCCCTTACGCTTCCAGATATTTTCCTGAAGGAGGAGTTCTGAAATCGCAAATTTCTATGGGGTTTCCTATAAAGGCGAGGCGGCATCTTTATCGAGAAAATTTTGTGGAAAAAGGCCTGGGACGGCCTAAATTTGGGGTTTCACTTTCTGGCCACCTCACGTAAAAGGTGCCAGCGACCTGCCGACGAGACCTGCCGCCAGGTTGGGGGGATTACTACCGGCCCAGATCAACGTTAGCAAAAGCAAGTGAATGGGTGAAAATAGAGAAGGAATGTGGTAAACCAACTTTCACATGGAACACCAACATCATAAAATGCGTCAATTTCGTTTAACATGTTCAACTTACTAGACTTTTGGCCAAATTGAATGATTATTTGATTATTCGAATAAATTATTTGAATGCGAATGACTCGAAAATCTGATATTCGAAAGTTTGAGATTATGAATAATTAATAGTTGAATATTCGAGACTTTTCATTTTCGAGTATTATCCGATAATCCAATATTCGATGGTCATCAATCGATCAATCGATGCTCATCGAATAATCGAATATACTCAACGAGCACCGATTGTTTGAAAATTCGATAAGGCTGACTGTTTAAAAATGCAATCATCGAATCATGGAAAATTTGATAACCATAGCACATACAGGATCCCAAGTTTGACCCTTAATATCTCATTTACGAAAGGATTTCCCAACTTTTAAATTTAATTTCTGTATGGCTCTTCAGCTTATATCTACACCAAGAAACAGCGTTATTTATTATGGGATTACGGTGGGAACTTTTTGCATATATAGCCACTGCGATATATGCCGCTTCAGAGAACTTCACCAAAAACATTTATTAAGTTTACTGGTAAGACTTACGAAAAAAACTTAATTGAATACTAACCTTATATTCAAAGCCAGTGACTTTAGAAAGCCAATGTAAGTGTGTCCTTTGGTGTCCTTTCATAGGCAAAATATGGACTTCATCGTCTTAAAACCCTTTCAACTAGTCCTATGGTAACCGTAAAACACTGAATAGCGATCGACAGTTCGCTCTATAGTAAATGTAAGGAATCCAACCACTAAAGAACGTACTCAAAGTTCAAAAACGACTTCTCGGTCAGTAATGACTTACTAGTTTCAAACGCTTGCGACCCTTGTTTATCTTGTATATCATCTCACAACACTCAACAAGAATATTATGTATGGATGGCCTTGCCCCTGTGAACTGAATAGTATGCAATGCAGCCGTCATTCTTTGCCGCCGTAGTTGCTTTATTTCATTACTCATAAAGCCACGATTTGTAACAGTGATTTGCTTCAAATTTCCGTTTCTAACAAATGTTACCCATAAACCGTTTTTTCACTATAGAATGTATTAGACTGTCCCATAAATCTTTTCATTTTTGAGTTTGCACTGTGATAAGTCTTGCACTTTTTATTCTAAGTAGGCACCAGGATACCATTCGATAGAGAAAAGCAAGCTCTACGGGCTTTTGTGCTTTTGCAGCAGCTTCGACCCACCTCAAGTTTAAAACCAAAATCTAGAAAGTTTCGGAAGCCCAAAAAATTGAAAATTTTTTATATCTTCGTTCTAAGAAGTCCTACAAACCTCTCACTCGCTCACGCATATACACTTCACATGCATCATGTGTGCTGTTGCTTTTTTCATTGGCTAGAAATCAAGAAAACGAAAAATCCCATGTCTTTAACAAAGTGATGCTGTGCTGCTCTTACACTAAGAGTTGTATACCACAAGCCCTTAGAAGTACAACCCTAAATTTTTAGCTCTCTATGAGCTCTAGTTACCAAGAAATATCAAATTTATCTTTCCTCACTCGGGCTTTTTACACTTAACCTAGCATTCTCCATAACTAGAGCTCATTAAGAGCTAAAAATTTACTGTCATACTTCTAAAGGCTTGTAGTATACAACTGTTAGTGTGAGAACAGCACAGCATCACTTTGGTAAAAACATGGAAATTTTCGTTTTCTTGATTTCTAGCCAATAAAAAATACAGCAACAGTACACATGAGTGTGCAAAAACAGAAACGCCATCTCATAGAGCTTGCTTTGCTTTTTCGAATGATATCCTGGTGCTTACTCAGAATGAGAAGTGCACGACTTATCACAGCGCAAACTCAAAAATGAAAAGACTTATGGGACAACCTAATAAGTTTAAATTATTCGCATAATACATATTCCAAAATGGAATAACATTTGAAAGTCGAATGATATTCAGTACTCGAATATTATTCGAAAGTCGTTATGCGAAATTTCGATTTCTGAATAAGCAGCCTGGGCCGCTTTTGGGCCCCTGAAGGAAGCCATCGACCAACTGCAGACCCGGAGCTTGGTGCCCACCTGTTCGACTCAAACTTCTCCCGGCGCTTTGTTACGCAGCTGAGACTTGGGTCGACACTTTAGCTACGTCGCAAGCTTTACGAACCACCCACAGAGCGCTCGAGCGCAGTTTTCTGAAGATGACCCGACGCAAGCAACATCTAGTCGGACTTCGCAGTACGGATAAGAAGAATGTCCCGTCTTCGTGACCCAGCGGAATACGTTGCGAAAGCGAAACATCGATGGGCCGGTCACATCATGAGAAGAAGAGACGACAGATGGACGCTAGGAACATCGGAGTGGATTCCTTGCGAAGCGAAACGTCCCCGAGGAAGACCTCCAACGAGATGGGCAGACGTGTTGTGGAACGAGCCATTTAAAAGTCAAAAATTGCGATAAAGTTGCATGCGAAGGGGATCAAAACCTTGAAACCCTCCTTATCAAGCAAGGCACTTACTACTAGGCCACTTGCCACCAGTGGGTACTCCTCTACAGTGCTCATAGGTAAGGGGAGACCTGCTGGAGGGCGCCTCAACCACAAAGGAAACACCGCTCATAATTCCTTCTACAAAACCGCTCCGCTGCTAAAAACTACAGATTTGGAATCAGCGTTTCAAGCGCTTTAAGAAGATATGTGTCTCGTCTGGATTGGTGCTTTCAACTGATTATCCTCTCCTTGTAAGTATCTAAGCAAGTAAGTAAGTAATAGTGATGGCAAATAACATACTGCAGTACCGTAGTATACGGCAAATAACATACTACGGTACTGCAGTATGTTATTTCCACAGTACTGCAATCAATTTCTCTCTCCTCCAGATTCGTTTCTGTACTGAGAAATCTTTGAATTATTGCTATTAATTTCAGCAAAGGCGATTTCTTTGTTCGAATAACTCAGTTTCATGAAGTTTTCAGATTTCTACTCATTCAAGTTACCGCATCAATTTATATCCAAGATTAAACCTCCAATGTGTACAGCAGCAAAAATCCCATAACTTTTGACTTGCAAAGCAAAACTATAAATCCCAAAATTCTTTTTACACATCAAATCAATTGCAGTGGGAGCTGTATAGCAAAGTTCATGACAAAGAACACGAAAATTTTTGCTAAGGAAGAGAACAGTTAACTCTACACTGTTTAAAATCATTTTCCGATCTGACAGAATCCAAGTCAATCTGTCAGTAGAGCTCTCATGTCGAATAAAGCCTTTAAGAGCGAATCCTTAAAGGCTGTAAGGTCAGTTCGTGGGTTCGACTTGTATGACGTCGGCACAAATAATATGGTATCTTTTTGAAGGTTGTAAGAGCAAGCGTACTCGTCTCGAGCACCATAGCATACAAAACAGTCAGAAATGTCTGCCGAAGTAGTAACCTTAAATTGTTTTCTTTCCTTAATCTAAAAAGCTAAAATTCATTTAAGATTTGTACTTGGCTTGTTTCGAGAGGAAAGCGCATTAGCTCGTTCCACATCGGATCAGTAAAAAGTCTAGGTAACTGCGAGATTTCGCCGTTTTCCAGCGATTGCCTGAGAAGAACGAAAAGAACAAACAAGTGAGTATCAATACCCATGCCCGAAATCACCTGAAAAGTTCATGAATCATGCTTGGAGATGGAAAGCTTTGCATAGTCCATGCCTCTGCAGTTAAGTTTGCTTGCTTCTCAGCTGCCTTCTTCAGTAAGTTCAATCTTGCTTCCTGTAAGAATATTTTTTATTGGCTTTATTTGAAGAGTTGGGTCCATATACAAAGTAAGTTTTATAGGGAATGACTACATCTCCTACAAGATCATCGTCGATTTCAACTAAAAAAACGGAGCTAGGAGGTCCTGAAAAACGTCACGTCAGGATCCATGACCATGGACTACAGTGGAAGGAACTAGCAAAAGGCCGTCTAAATTTGCCATGACAACGAAGAAAACCCAATGAAATTCACAGTTTCAAAAGCTCCTTGGCACTGAACCTCAAAATCACTTGATGGAGAGTAACAAGAGATTGATAAGAGATTAACCACATTATCGTCAAGAAAAGTTATTGTCTAGACGTCGCTCTTGTTCCGAAGTTCTATGCGAAATAGGCTATGGAATTACGTGCCATAATCTACGATTCAAGAAATAGAGAGTCGCTAACTTCAGGAAACATCGTTCCAAGACTACTATCGACTTGGACCTGTTTTCTTCGATCTTCGTTCCCCGCGAGAGTGACCAACAACATCGACGACTAATCGGTCTCTCCACGATCGCGCTAAGGAACCAAAATTCTAAGAATTACGAAAAATGTCTGATATGGAGGCTCTGGAGCTGAGAACGAACAAGAACCTAGGCGATCCTACTGACGTCCGAGCTTGAGACGCGATGCAGAAAGCGATAAAAGAAGATTTTGAAGAAAGAAGAGTAGCAGTAATGGTTGACGCCGAGCCCTAGAAAAATAATACGCAACGTTTGCCGAAGCTTTGTCAACTTCAAGACTAAGATGACAGCACTTCGCCACCCTATGAAGCAATAACTGACAAGGAATGCATGCTTAGTCAAAGTGGCTTTTTTAGATGTCATGTATACCATATTTGAGGGCATAAAATGCTGATTCCATATCCGCCTTCCTTATCTGCAGAACGTTTGTGGATAAGGAGTTATGAGTTTTCATTAGAGAAAAGAGCACATGTGCAAATAGGACAAAAATTGCCGTTACACTTTCTTCTAGCTTTTCAATAAAGCAGTGATTTTCATCAGAGCACTTTATTGAAAAAATTCTTCAAAATAAAAAAATATATCACACTTGGTTACTTTATTTAAGGGCTAGTAAGATCTTAGCAATCCATTTTCCCATGCACATTCAATTTTCAACTCCAAAAAAGCTCATAACTCGTCTATAAACGTTCTGCAGATAAAGCAGGCAGGTTTGGAGTCAGGTCAGCGTCTTATGCCCTTCAATATGGTATACATCCCATCTAAAAAGGCCACTTCGACTAAAAATGGTTCCCTTGTGAGTCAATGGAGAAAGATCCACGACTTTTATTAACGAAGATGCACGAGGACCCCCAAACGGCAAGGCCCTCCCCATTCATGCGCGCCCATCCAATCACCGCTTTGGAAAGCTGGCCTGTGGGTTTTCCGAAACGGGGATTGTTGGGGTTTTCGCGGATTCTCGACTTCATATTCGGAATCAAGGACATGAATGTGGCGGCGATAAGACATGGCCACCGCTTTCGCTTCGCGATGAGACTTTATGGCAGCCCGCTCGCTGACAGTTCTAGCAAAGTTTCTCAGCGGGAAGCGAAAAGTGGCGGCGATGAGGCAACGGCGCTTTTATTGGTGAGAGCCTTCGATTGTCTGAGTAAATACGGTGCACTTGCTTTCGCTAAACTCCCTGCATTACCGATATGGCTGGCTATTCCTTAAACTTTACGATTACTACACCCTTAGCAAGGAAAGAATACGGTTACGGTGGCCTTTTGAAATAAAATGTAAACATTAATTGCTCCTTGAAACGCTATCTCCACATCTGCTTTCGGTGTCTGCTGTGCACTCTTCCAAGAAAATTTGTGAACATCTGTTGTCACCAAGATTTGCACTGCATTGATGACAGGATTCACCGATTTTGCTTCAATTAAATGGTAGTCCGAATCTGTGCAAAACGATAGGAACCACTTCAGCAGCGACTAAACGTCTCCATATTGAAGATAGACGATCGATTTCTGCAGTGCCGTGCTGTATGGTGACTCTCCTATCCAATAACGATGTTCTTTCTTCTGCAAGAAGTTTTCATGAGATAGAGAGCTGCTGCGATCAGAGCTTGGCACAGCTGGCACCGGGTCAAGCTGGATATCGTTTTTAGGGCAAAAAGCAAAGTGGATTTTCCGAGGTCCGGGGCGGAGAAGAGCGGCAAGAATGCCGCCGGCATGCCATTGGCATGCTGTTTATAAAACAAACAAAGACGTTGTTTTTAGCCAAAACGCAATAGCATGACACCAAACTTGATATGTGCATGCGCGTTGAGGGGCCCGAACTATGGGCCAAAAATTTATGGAAACTTATATAAATAAAATTAGTGCTGAACTTTTTCTGAATTAGCTGGCACCGTGCCAGCTGGTTGCCAACTGAGCTGGCACCGACACTTTGCTAAAATAAATTTCGGCATTTTTCAAATAAAATGTATCTACACTGTAAAACTTTACATATAAAGGAGAAACAATTTCATAATGTTTTCTTTTCAGCGTTTTATAGCCATTTGGAAATTATTCGGTGTGCTCCGCAGACGAAAAAATCGGCTTTTCCTGCTTCTCAAGATGTGATTATTCAACAACTTAAAAAGCTCAGAAAGCTGTGAAAAATTGTTCCATGAGATCAGCATGCATGTAAACCCCACTACATACTTTTACGTAATCTAAAAATAGTGACGGGTCTTCAAAACAGGTCAAAGGGGACTTCGTACGAAATTTTCACTTTTCAAGATCGAATAGGACTTTGTTTTGAAATTTCCCTGGTGCCAGCTCGTGCCGGGCCCTGGCTGCGACGAGTCCGACGAGTCTGTCTACCGATGCAGGATGTGCGGACTTTAAGTCCGCACATCCTGCATCGGTAAAACGCGCAGTTATCACTAATATGTACAAGACGGCCATGCAGATGTGCTCTGGGGAGAAAGAACGCTACGAATCACGAAATTTGGCTTCTCGAATTGCTTGCAGTAATGGTTACCATGACTTACCTCGTTGTCGACAATCTAGGAATGGTCCCAGCATTCATAGTACCAACAAGCTCCCACTTTGCCTTCCCTTCATCTCAGATAAGATTACCGCGGCGTTTCAGCGATGCATTTTTCGAGCCCAGTTGCAAAATGATGTTGTTCTAGTTAACATCCCCAACGACAATATCAAAAAGCAACTAGTCCGGAATAGGCTCTACGACCGATACTGTACAACAGAGCAATGCATAGTATGCCCGCACGGTAGAGTTGGGGACTGTGCAAAAGTGGGAGTCGTTTATCAAATTGAATGCCTTGACTGCAAAGCAATATACATAGGAGAGACGGGTAGAGTTTTGGGTATTCGCGTGAAAGAACACTTGGCCGATAAAAGGCGCAGAAATTTGGGCTCGGCACTTGGCAGGCATAGAGACTCGCGGCACGGTGGAGAAGACTTCGATGTCAAGTGTAAAATTCTTGCGTATGAAATAGAGATCTCGGCTAGAAAAGCTTTGGAAGCATTCTGGATTACTACCAAGAATCCTGAGATGAACAATAAGAACGAGTGTTTATCAATAACTAGTGACTTCCTCCCGTTCGTATCGTTATGTGATTTATAACTGTAGATCATCTTGGTGTATCTACAGTATGATTCACTCGTCTGCCGCGACTGCCTATATCCGGTGCAGACTACTCGAGTTGCAGTGGTCTTCCGGTATGTCCTCTACACTGACATTTTATTTGGTAGCGAGATTGTGAGAAGGTCGAAAACTAGCAGAGTTGGAGAAAACGCTTGGTGGTCTGGAATTACGGATGACACTTAGAACCATTCAGGCCTCTGAGGAAGACGAAAGGCGTCGAAACGTAAGGCCGTGATTGGAAGAAATAAAGACCACTTCTCAAACCTGTACGGCACAAAAGAAATTTGAATTTACGACATATGAAGATCGTTCCTTGCTGGCAAACGCGGGGGCATGGGTACGTCTCCTTTGAGTTCATGCAAGCGCGAGATACGTACATCCCTAAACTTATGCAAGCTCTTTCTTTATGCTATACTATTCCTTTATATAGTCGCCTGGACTAGGCTTGGGATGACGTGGAGATTTTTTGTTACTGTTGTGTTTTCGTGTGACTAACGTTTGACTTTTGTGATTCGGAACGCCTCGAGCGTATGATTGATTGAATGAATGAATCTTTTTTTAATTTTTTCTTTGTGTCCAATTCAGAGCGTCTGCGCCTTTCTCGGCAAGCTAGCTCTCTTGTGGCAGCGCCGACCAATCAGAGGCGCGCAGAAAAAGGCTACTAAGGCTAGAGGTGCAGAAGGACTGTTTCCCCTCCGATGTTTTATGCTGAAACCTTCTCATCAATATGATATGCTTTCCTTTCTTCCTCTTGAGTGAAGCCCAGCTTCTATTCTTGGTTTCGAGAATTACATCATTTTTGATGCGAGTTGCAGCGTCTAGGAGAACGTAAAGATCATGTGCTGAGGATAACGTCCTTGCGAACAGTTTCCATGTCTTGTCATATTCGTTTTGTTGTCAAAAAGATCGATGGACGTCTCGTTTTTGCAACTGATATCCTCCCCTCCCCTCCCTGTCACCTGTCGTGCTGCCATCCGACATCCCTAGTGGCAGACAAATATGGTGCGCAGGGTAGCGGGCGATTGGTATGAAGTTGTGAAAGCTATTTTAATTTCCCGCCTTACCCTGGTTAGCCCGGCTGGGCCGTTCTGGGGCTGTGTCGAGGCAGTCACCGCTCTTTGGATGACACCAACGGCTTTTTCCTCTGGCGTTGAATGGCGCTGTAAGGTAAGTGGACGAGTGGAATATGATGACCTGGATGGTCTGCTTTGACTGGGTTGACTCGTGAGTTTCGATTATCTCACTACACCCAG